ATTCAAAGGGTATATTTGCACTCATAACCCTGTCAGCCTGAGACAGCTATACTTGGAGCGCATCTGTGTGTTCCTGAAACAATGGCTCCAGAAGGGACATCTACCTATTTTCTGTTTTCTAGAAGATTGGGTATCTTCTCAAGGGAAAAAATATTTCTTTGTATTGGCACAATATACCCACCTTCTACTTCATCCCAAATTTTAGTTATCTTCAAGCCCTTAATAGTTGTTTTCTCTAATGAATCTTTCGGTGTAATATTGTAAAGCATTGCATACTAATGAGTTTACACTAAAGGGTCTAACACATTAGATGACTCTTCTAACCCGTCTTTTCTATCCATTTCACTAGAAGTTCTACCTTTACCAAATCATGAGTGTCACAGTGTTTGTTTTCCAGTTTGAAAGTTTTAGTGTACGTTTTGGCAATTTGACCTGATTTTCACCTTTAGCTCAGTCACAGATCAGGGACAGAGACTATTAACCACATGAAAGTCAATGAACTTTGCTATCTATTGCGATAGCAGTACTTTTTTTCCTTCATATCTCAGTTCCTACTAAAGTCTTTTCCCTTCTCCAGTGTCAGATACAATAATAGTCACTGAACACTAAAGCAAATTATTCTTTCAGTATAAGAGCTTAGTTACCTTTTGTTCCTACTGTGTCCTATCTGCATATTAATTATGAACTTTGATTATTGGCTTTGTTCTCTATTCATTTAAATGTCTTTTGTGCATATATATATATAAAAGCATATATATGTGTAAAAAAAGGCAGCTTAACTTTTGACAATTTTTCAAGTTTTTATGACACCCATCTCTATTTTTGCATGAACATGTATGTTATTAAACAAAAATAACATATTTTCAACAGCTAGGGAAAAGACTGGGCAAACAAGTTTCTGTCAAAACATGTGCCCAAGCACTGAAATAACTATTTAAACACCAAAAGCAAATTCTGAAAACATAAATAGTAACCATTTCCACTTTATTAAGAGAAAAAAACAATACTCAGAAAGTAACTAGAACCTGACATCATTAAAACAGCATAGGAATGAAGCTGGTTTTTTTACTCTACTGCGTTTTCTGTCTTTTGATGAGCTGTGGTTTATTATTTGATTTCTGGGTAAAAGAGATAACCAGTCCCAGGGCTTTTGTTACTCTCAGCCTGCTCAGACAACTAACAAGTTAATGTCAAAATTCTTTCTGATGCCTTTTTTTCGGCTCCAGGCTTTTATAGAATAGATATTTTCCCATTTTGGTAAGCCACCCTTTAAATGCCACAAACAATGGCTCTTAAAAACCACCACATTGACCAATTTTCTTCTCACTATGCCCAGCATCAGCTTGCAGGATAGTCAATGTTACACGAAGCCTGACGCAAAAGATTAAAAAAACACATTAAATTTGATTTTGCAGTTACACCCAAAGAATAAAAACAAATTAATTTGCCCCCTTATTTAGAAGATTATTGAGGGCAAAGCTATCTGCTTTTAACTACTGTCTACCTCTTTTGTGCAAGGATATTACCTATTAATGCACCATGTTTTAATGCACTCTTACCCTAAAACCAATATTTGGGGATTATATTGGCAGTTTAGTTTTCCTAACTGTGTTCCTGTGAGGAAAAGTAGCAAGAGAAATATGAAAATTAAATTACTAAGATATAATTAATTTTCCTGATTCTAAGGCATGTATTCTTTTATGCTGCTTATCCCAGCTAATGAAAGCCAGATTTAATTAGTTTTTGGGATCTGACACAACAGGGCTTACCAGCTTTCATAAAGGATTGTAGAAAAACATTTTCTGAAAGCAAAATCATGCTTTTACTTGAAAATGTAAGATAGGAGAAAGATGAGACCACAGCGGTTGGGCACACAGGAAAGAATAATTTTAAATATCAACCGAATTTTATTTTTCCAAAACAATTTTTGATAGCAAATATTAGAGATGTTGCTCTGTCTGAAGACCTCAAAATCTGGATATAGAACAAAGAGTGTCTGAGGCAAAGTTTAAATATGTGAAGCTACTATGACTCTGACTTTCTCTTTTTGGCTCCCTGTCCAGAATATGTTGAGCACCCCTGGACTTTGGTGGCCAACAGTATGAGCCTTGTGAATATCAAAACCTTAATCCAAATTTTATACTTCAGTTTCATACCCTGTAATCAAGGTGGACAGAATCCTGTTTTTTAAATTCAGTAGTAAATTGTTTTACATATCCAAGATTTTGAGTAGTTTTACAGCAGCTTTTTTTGAAGAAAAAAAAAGAAAAATTATTATTTAGATATACTCATATCTTTACATCTGAGGTTTACTATTTGACCATAAATACATATTCCAACATTAACAATCTAATGTAAATTCTTGTATCTTTCACATATACAAGTATTATCATAGCCTAATGTATTTGCATTTAGGCACTGCAACTTGCTGTCAAACTGCAGTCACATGCGTCCCCTTAAAAAAATTAGCTTGAATGTGAACTCAGCAAACTCTCTACTGTCCCATGTTACTGTTAATTTCAGAAGTCACAAAGCATGGGGATGCAGCATTTGGAAAAATACTCTACATTGTTTTAGGACTGCCAGTATGGTCTAGTGGACACTTTGGCTAAGTTTTAACTAAAACATTAAAAGGTGCCAGGGCCCAGGCCAGAGCCTGGTATTCAATCATATATGCAGCTAAACAGTTCTTGGTATATTTGAGACTCAGTTACAACTCTGCCAAACAATTTTCAGGCAGTATTTGCAGGAAAGCATGTGTAAAGGACCATTCCCACTCAGCGTTTAACATACAACTATTCTGTTTTAGGGGATACAATGATTTTACAGTATCAATGTAGTTGTATCAGTTGGGCTTGAGGACAGAAAATAGGGTCTGTTATTGTTTTGTTTCTGTGACAGAAGTAGCTTCTGAGGCGACAGGGAGATAACATATTAGGGTTGGTGACCTATTTATTTGGATGTATTTGGCAAACAATCACCTAAATAATATTTCACTGCTTTCTGACAACATTTTTTTCATTTAGGAAAAAGAAATAATTTCATTTTTAGGAAAATGAATGTATGGCTTGAACTTAAAAAAACACAACAGTTTGGGGTTTTTTTTCTTAATAATTTGAAATATATTTAAAAGCCATATGGTAACAGGAATTTTTAAAGGGATACGTATGATCTGAGTGTCTAACTGTATTTTGCTGTCAGAAAATACCACACAAACCTAAAATTATTTATAGTTCTTTCAAGCTACAAGGTTAAATAGGTCTGTATGTTCCCTTCTAGAAAGGTTCATGCCAAAACCCAAGAAATTTCTGTCCTAATGGTAATTCTTTTTTTTTTTAAGATTAAAATGATTTGAGAGTTTTAAAAAAGAAATATCGTTGAATCCTAAGTAATATATAGGAGTGCATGTGTACAAAATCTTGCAGAACACAATATAGACTGAATATATTAGAAAAAAATCACTTACACATAAGTTAATGCTGATTGACCAAACAACAAGGGTTTCTGTTTCATCCATTGTTTTTCATAAAAAAGTCTGAGTTCAGTTCATTATTAAAGAGAGGGCAGAAAGCTAAATGGGAAATTCTCACTAATTTAAGTCCACCTTGGATAAATGAGCTGAAGGATTGGCAAAGCTGGAAAACATTAAGCAACAATGGGCATCATGGCAATGAATGAAGCCAAAAGACGAGAGGAATGCCTGATATGTAAATTTTGTAAGCCACATGAGGTGATTTTAATCCCAGTGAAATGAATCTTGAAGACACAGGGTTGTTTAGTGTACTATACACTTGCACTCTTTTTACTGTTATTTATTTATTAGAAAGTAGACAAAGCTCCTTCTCCACATTCTTTTGAGTAGAACAATTTCCACCCTCTTTCTATGTTTCTGTTTTGATTTCTGCTGAAGCCCTTTTGACTAGATACCATACCACCTCAGGGGTCATCACTAATAAACATTTTTACAGCTACTCTCAACAAAGACTGATGGGAGTCTTGGCAAGAGCAAGGTCCTCTGGAAGACCCCAAACCATCACATTACTTTAAAATGTTTAGTGCAAATAATTAAACAGAGCTGTGTACTTCTTACACCTCACACGCAATGGTCAAACAATGATCATCCTAAATGCCTTTACAAATATAGGGAAGGGCATTCAACAATACTTTTCTGTGGCAAGTCACTGTAAACACTGATGGGCAGGTAAAGTGATAGGTATATTGTATGAATCATAGTAGAATTGAATCTAAGTCTATATGGTTTCAGACCTATTCTGCTGAGACAGACCTTTGATTTTCTGCGATTACCATATATTCTCATTAGTTATGTATATAAATGACAGATTAGTATTTACCAGTGCACATATCTGCACTTCAAGAAAAAGCTTTCACTATAAACCTTTCCAAATTTTCTGTTTCTCAATCTATAGATGCTTTAGTAACTTTTAGACTTGGTATTTTACTATGTACTTATTCTCCGCTTTTGTGACTAGCTACTAATCCAGAAAACTTTGGACTTTCCTTATTTACAAATGTAGCCTGACTTGGAAATGAATTTTGGAAGTTTGCGTTTGTGTAGTATTTTAAGAACCCAGAAATACCAGTTGAAGAAAAAATTTGGGACTGTTTACTTTAACTTGACTTATATATTCTGCAACAGCTATAAAAAATAAAAATCAAAATCTGGGTGCAAATTTATTAAAGAGTACTGTACTCATTTGACCTTAAAACCCCTGACTATTCCAATCTCTGGGGAAAATATATTTCTCAAGGATTCTGCAGCAGGAGACAAGTAATTTATAAAAAGAAATGAATTTACATTTTCTGCAATAGAAGTTAGTGGGTTTTTCTAATAGTTAGACAAATTTGACTCTACCAGCGTTTTGGATATGTATGAGTCATTAAGTAGGTAGTATATACTACTATACAGATACTTGCTTTTAATTAAGACAATTATTTTTGAGAATACTGGACTTTAAAACAACTTTTTGAACAACACCTACTTGAGGTCTTGGGAAGGTTCTGCTCTGATATGGGGTGTCTCCACAGAGTGCCCAAACACTGCCCCTTCCGTGCCTAAAATACATAAATAAAATACAGTACAATTACTTTGGAAAACAACACATTGAAATGTATGACCACAAATTCACATTTTTAGGACAAGATGTCTGATTTAATCCATTATTAATGATAACAAATGTTTCCTCATATTGATGTTTGCATTTTTATTTTTATATCAAAATCTGGATGGATATAACGTGAAACGTTTTCTGCTTATTAGGAGATGAATTTCACATACCAATCTGAAAGCATTTATAGATCCAAACTTTTCAGCATTGACTTGCCTGAATTCTCATCTCAACACTTGGGAAATGGATTGTTTTACAGATAAGGAAAAAAATATCGTAAGCTGTTTGACAAAATACATTCTGGAATTGTCAACTATTTTTTGCACACCCTCATTTTAAGTGCTTAAATTTAGATGCCAAGCTTTCAAAGGTTTTGAAATAACATAAACATTACATAAACTTTAGGTGGGCTTTTTTGTTTGTTTGGTGGGGTTTTTTTAACAAAAACCCCAAAGAATATACATGTGCCTGTAAGTTTTTACTTTCCTTCTCTGAAGATGGTGTACTGGGCACTGTACTAATAAAAATAGCTAGAACTATTGTGTAAAAGTCTTTCCAACAGATAACCACCAGCAAAGGTGAAAGAACTGAATAAAAACTTCTGTAAAACAAGTAATGCTTTTACCCTCCATCACTAGAAATAAAATCAAGGAAACTGTCTAGGATAATTAAAAGTGATTACTAAATATTCTGGGTCTGATTGCTGTATTTCAACAACAGAAGTTTTCTTGTGTTCTGAGCCTTGAATTTTGAGTAAGCTTAAAAATATACCCACAATATCTCACACTAGCTATATAAGAAGTGCTCAAGAGAAGAGAGGCAACACTTTGTTACAATATTATAAACACAATAAAGTATTTTCAATTATCTAATATTTTATGTGACCATTTTAAAAGTATGTTTAGAAATTCTGTCTTTTAATGGAGACAAGATATATAGATATTTTTACAGTTAACCAACAACATTTAGTAAACTTATCCTACCAGCATCTGAAAGCAGAATGAGGCTGTAGAATATTTAATTGATAATACCATTTTATAGTGTTAAAGAGAAAATGTCCTGAGCAAGAAGCCCAAAAAATCTAATTAAATGTTAAACAACAGTACTGTGAGGTAATCATCATTGTTCACCATCTTCTAAACTCCACTTTCATTAAAAAAAATAATAAAAAAATCCCTTCTTTGTAAAATACTCTACTGGTATTGAGTATCCAAGAAAGGAAGAGGGTATTTCTGAGAATAATGAAGTTCTAGGTTTTTATCTCCAGAAATCTATAAGCTTAACAAATATCTTGGCAAAGCATACTGAAAAAAATTTCATTACAACTGCTGCTTTGAAGATTTCACAAGAAAACAACTAAATCCACTTTCTATAACAAAACATTATGGAGTGTTATGGAGAACCACAGGAGGGGAAAAAAAAGCTTATTTCTTTACATAAAAGTATTCACAGAGGTGCAGTGCAGAACCTCTTTTTTAAACCCAATGTTGCCTTGCAATTCTGCTACCTTTAAAAGACAGGAATAACATGTCTGTATAGACAGGCTTTCTGTCACTCAAAGTAATTCTCACCCCCACCTATAATGACACACAAGAAATTCTACAGGAGCTGGATCTCAGATATTACAGAATGTGCTTCCGGATTCCATTCCACTTTTTCATCTTTTCAAGACCAAGGTTTTTTCTATTTTTGAAGGTGGCAATTGGCTTTTGAGATATATGTAGCTGAGCAGGATGCAGAATTGCCAGCCTTTACTTATGAGAAGACCACAGCTGTAATGTTTCAAAGAGCAGAGTTAATCCAAAGATGTATAAAACATCACTGTTGTACAGGTCAGACACTAAATGCATCAGAAGTGCCAAAGATAATATGAGGCAAAAACTGATAACAGAAGATAAATGACAGCTTTTCTAAGCCAGAATAGGTATTTCCTCACTTTCAACAGCAGTTGTTTGAAAGATGAGAAAGCATTTCTTACCTAACAAAATAGAAATTTGAAAAGAAAGACCAAATTTGCCCAACCAGACTGAAAACCCAGGCAGGCAGAATTAAGGATAAACCAATACAATTAAATAAAATATAATTAAAACTCAAAACAACCCATATGTGCTTCTTTAGCTACCTGAAGATATAATCCCCCTTTTTTTTTTAATTCTTATACAGCCTCAAAAGTGAAAGAATAACAGTTCTCGCATTAAATGCTTTATCCTCCAAAAATATGTCATCAGCAAGTTCAAGAATATCTGCAGGTTCTTTTATTTTATACTGGACGAAAAGCAGGCACCTATAAGTCTCTTGGTTTTAGTAAAAAAGGTGAAAAATAACAGCCATCCAGAATTTACTGATGCTTTTTCAGAGTTAAACAGCAGGATCAAGAAAAATGGAAAGGGACTGTACAACAAATAGAAGACATGGATCAACATTAGTTAATAATATAGAAGTGTAGAAAAGCTATAGGAAGATTTTCTTTATTTTTTAATATACCATGTGTAAATCTGTAGTATTTTGATGAGAAGTGTCCTGGGTTCAGCTACAGCAG